TTCTATACGTTTAGAAAATGAGTTAAGTCTAAAAAAAAAATTAAATTCAATTATTTTACATATAAACTAATCAAGTTTTATAAACTTGAACCGAGTTTTTTAGGCTAATTTTTTAAACTTACGAGATTAAAAAATTATTTAAGATCGACTCGTTTGAAAGATAAGTTGAATTTGAATCGAATTCTATTCCAACTAAGACCAAATCAAACTAAAATAACTCGACTCAATTATCGACCATAAAAGCCAAATATCACCATGGTTTTCCTGAGTTTACTGACATAAGGCTGCGAACCACAATAATATACATCAGATATCAAATACCCCACTAAGTTTTCTCAAGTGTGCGAGTAAATATTAGGCGTAACGGAGAGATACGAACACTATTGTCATATAATATCATTATTTAATAATAAATTTATATATATATATATATATATATATATATATTAAGTAGAATTTACTTGTCTATTAATTTATTATTAGATATTGACACCACATGACAATAATAATATAGTATAACCGTTACGTTGAATATTTTCTCCATAGTTTTCCAACTTGAACAATCAAGGAAATAAAATAATGAGTCACTCACATATTTTTAAGAATATGCTTGGCTGAGAAGTGTATATTTAGTATTGAACAATGCTATTTAGATTTAAAAATTTTATTTTATTTATTTATCTGATAATGTGATTTTATTAGAATTATTCGAGAAAAAATGAATTTTAATATTTGACAGGACCTATAATTAATCTAAAAATTATAATAAATTAGGTTAATAAATGTAACATTATAACATTTTAACGATGTTGATGTGAAATGACATTAAAGTTCTGGTGCTCCTATTGGACAGTTGAGTCGAGTAAAAATCAAGGAAAATCAATCTGTAGGGAGTGAATTTCCGAGTTGACCATAATGCACCGATTAACATGTTTGAAGAAAGTTCGGCTGAGGCACTAAATGACGGACCGTCTTCTTTCATGTTTGAAACCTCGGACTGCTTTTCTTAGAAACTTTTCTCGTCCAACACCTTCAAATATTATATGAGAAATATTACTTGTTTTTTTTTATGAGAAACATAATTAAAACTTTAAAAAATATTTAATTTATTAATATAATGTCGTGTCAAGTAATATAGCGTACTTAGGGGTTGTTTATTTTGAGTATTAAGTTTGTGTGGTATTAGAAATCATTTTCATTTCACTTCTATCCAATGGTATATTATACCCGATTTTTAACTATAATCTCATTCTTTCCCTTATTTGTTTGTCACAAATATTATCTGTGTAGTACTTAGTGTATAAGATACTTGTTATTGTGGGGTTTAGGAAAGATTAAATGTACGTAGTCTTATTTTACAAACAGAGAGATTATTTCCGTGACTTGAACATGTGACCTCTGATATACAATAGAACAACTTACGTGTCAAGTGATTCTATCAAATAAATCAGGGGAGGCCTAACCCAATTAGGGCCTTAAGCAAAAATGTTACGTGGAGCCCTAATAATATTAGTATTAAATAGTTATCAAAATATTAAAATATGTTTATTTAAAAATTATTTGTTTTGTCTTTTTTTTTTTTTTGAGATACAACATACTAATTAAAATTTAAATTTTGTAAATAAAAATTGTGTTAACTATAGTCGAATTTGGAGATCAAGTGCAAATGATACATACTATTTGTTAAAGATAAAGAAAAACATAATTAAAAATTAGTTTAATTAGTAAGACAACTATGATTGATTAATTTTAAATAGTGTATTACTTCTACTCATTCTATTTTATAGTTATTCTATTAATTATAAACAAATTGATCAAAAAATAGCCTTAAATTTAAGTTATAAAAATATAAAATCATTATTCATACCTATTATACGATAGACAATTGATTTTAATAATAAGACTGCAAAGTGATAATACATATAATATAAACATCGAGTGAGATAAGAAAATTAGGTTGACCTCTAGGACCCTAATTTTTTGTGAAAGAGGTTCTAAAAATTTTACGATAATATTACTTGTATATTATTTGAAGTTTAAATATATTGGATAAATAATGTATTTTATTTAAAGTTAGCACTCCTTGTTAATTCAATTGTTAAAATGTATTGAAGATTTAAATTATATCCCAACATCTAGATTGCATATCATTGTATAAAATTTTATTTTGAGGCCCCAAATTTTTCTTCTAATTTGGGAGCCCTAGACAATGACTTTAGTGGCTTATAGGTTGGGCCGGCCCTAAAAAAATAAGTCTATCGGTTACTATCAATATTATTATTCTTTTTTATCGGTACGTTGTATGATAAAAAAAATTTGGATATATTCTACATCTCAAGGTATGCCGATGGGCTACTAGCATACAGTAATAATAACAATGCATTAGCATGTATATATTAGGATATCGTCAATCTTTATTTAAATTTAAATTTGAGTAAAAACAAACAAAAAACATTTTTCAATCCTTTACTTAAATTCAAACCAAATGAAATGAGACTTAAATTTTTATGTAAATCAAAAAACACTCAAATCTTTAATTGTCAGATATCATTCTTTTAAAAGATCTAATAGTAATATTTTATCTTCTTTTAAATTTGATGTTATCAAACTTTTTAGTTTAGGTTCAATAATTAAGGGTATTTGGGTCAATTTATGCACATTTCAATTAGTCATTTTCTTGGTCCAATGAAAGATAGGTAATCTATGCCGAGACTAAGATATTTATAATAAATACAATAAATTCCTTATACTCTAATTCCAATGAATTGTCCAAAATTCAAATTTAAAATAATTTTATATATAATTCATTTCTACTGCTACTTGAGCCACCTTAGAGACTAAAACTCCCACTTCACAATCCGATTGAATAGATGAAAAAATATCTTAAAGGGATAGGACAAACACAACTTTAATTAGCATCATCTTCCATGAAGTTGTCCATGTTGAAAAGCCTTTCAAAGCTCTGGGGCCGGCTTGGGTACACGTTTTCCAGGAAACAGTCACCCTTTTAGTCCAAGAGACTAGCTTTTTCTACTCAACATATGGAGTTTTCACAATATCCTTTCCATGTAATTCCTTGGAAGGCTACCATATCTGCTCACATAGTCTCCCCCCCCAACCGTCCCAATTTCCTCTTTCTTGCACTGGAAGGAAGAGGAAGTTACTCCACTATAGAGGATTTCCAAACAATGACAACGCAAATGAAAACATAGGGGGAATTTCTTCAAGCAATTTTTTGTCTTGTTGCTTGCGGTTGTTCTTCAAGCAATTTTTTGTCTTCAAACAAAAAACAATTATTTTTATTTGTTTCAAAGATAAGTAATGCTATTCACATTTAATTATGGCTTGTATTTAAATTCTACTAATTGAATTTTATGTGGAAGATTCTATGCAGGGGTGTTCACCCTACCTTATGGATGGAAATTATGATATTTTATATTTTTATCAGATACTTTAAGGAATTTTTTTTTTTGATCTATTCTATCCGATCAAGTGTACATTCCTACCTGAATTCCATCCAAAATAATCAGGTAAAAAATCGAATGAACATAAATTTTTTATTTATTAATTTTTAAATCATTTTAACAATTTAACTTAGTAACATGCATCAATTAACTAACACAATAAACTAATAACATTAAAAAAAATACAATAAATTCGATAGTATATAAATAATTATAATAAAACACAATAACAAAGTTATAAATATCAATACACCATATATAAAAAAAGTCATAAACATCAATAAAATATTAAAATTTCTATATTTTTGAATTTTAATTTTTATATATATATATAATATTTTATTTGTCTCGTCGCTATGAAGACCTTGTGAAGGAGTAGAATTCCTTAGTCTCGAAGCTTGGATTCGGTGCGGTGTTCGACAAATGAGAATTCAAGTTGTTTTCACCGATTCTTTGACGTCATTGGGTTCTTATTGTTGCTTTATTTTGTTAATTCAATAAATGTTATAATATTAAAATAAAGTGGATCGACATTCTCTTGTTCTTTTGATTTAAAGAACTTTGTAATCTCTAATCTTTACCAGCGAAATCTTGTCAATGTATTTCGTTCGTGGACGTAATCTTACTTGCTAAGTTAAATCACGTAAATCTTATGTGTTTTTATTTTTTTTATTTTGTTATGTTATTATTTTACCTGTGACCTTGATTTCTAACAAAATCTAAAAAATTAATTTAATTTATTAATTTAACAATGTATCAAATAATAAAATCTCAATAAACAAATATCTAAAAATTACGACCATAATAATAATATTAGACCACGTTGTCGTTACTTCTCCGTAAAGGAGACAACGTTTCCCAGGTCATACGTTCTTGATTGTTAGTTTAGGCCCGAAAAGCCATGTTTGACTTCTAGCAAGCCTCAATATATATAATTCAAAATTTCCACCTCCACTCGCTCGTGCTTTGAAAGGGCAAGACGCATATACTTTCAGATTCTTAAGGTCGAAGGTGCATCGTAAAAAAATATATTATTTGTCTATGTGGTCGTTTTATCAAATATAGTTTTTTCATAAAAGCTTGACTAAATGATCTTAACATTGGCCATGAGAAAGGAAGAATATGATCATAATTTTCAATTGAACTCAGGAAGTCTTCGCATGGTCAACTTTTCTTTTTTTTTTTTAATAATTTAATGGTCAAGAGTATTCAAACCAATTTGCGTACATCTCGACTAATCGTCTCTTTAGTCTGATCAAAGACAGACCATTCATGTCGAGACTAGAATATTTTTAGTTTATAAATCTCTCGTGACCTGAGTTCAAGAAACTTAGGTTAACGGTTCGTCCATATTATTACTTGAGCTATTCGTTGGGATTAAGGCAACATATGGTAAACTTGAAGCCTTATTGATATTTGTAATTGTAATTGTAACTGCTCAGAAGGGGATTTGTTGTTGGGATCTCCGGTAGAGCAGGGATTACAGGCATAAATGGGAGTTGGAACTGGGAAGTACATTCCAAGACGTCAAGTGCATTATTATTAAACTTTAAGATCAAACAACGGGATTGCTAGCGTCGCCTACCATAGCAAAAGCCCTTCAGCCACAATGAAGAGCCCCTAGCTAGTCACAATTTTTTTCTTAAAATTACAAAAAACTTGTCTCCAATCAATCAAAACTGTAAAAACTTCAAAAGAAACGAATAGTACTATTCGACAATTTCTGTCATTTAGTAGTAGTGAAAATATTTGAGCACATAAGAGAATTTACAAGGTGGGGAAAACCGACTGGCGACAAAATCAGGCAAGAGCAGGTCCCCAAGTGAGCTCCTCAATGGTCATATGTCTCAAAGACATAGCCAGATGCGCATCAGAAGCGTGAATCTGGATCAATCTATCCTGCATATTTTGGAAAGATGGAATATCTAATGCACCAGATATCGTCTCACGCATTGAAGGGTCTTCTGAAAAATTAACAAGGGCTTCTGCAGCATTATCTCTCAGTTCCTCTGACTCGTCTTCCAACATATCAATGAGATTCGGAATAGACCCTGCATCAGCAAGGGCTACTCGATCTGCCTCATTGTAACTCAACTGGGCAACAGCCCCGGAAACCTTCTCCCTAACATCAACATTCTCATGTCTCAACAGCTCAACCAGAATTGGAATTGCACCAGAGTTTCGGATTACATTTGATAAGTGCTTGTAACCAGAGAGATCCCACAGAACATCAGCAGCTGCAGCTTTGGCTTCATCATTCTCTCCTCTAAGAATTCTAACCAAGTGTTCAGCAATTATAATTGCATTCTCTTCAACAACAGCTAAAATGCAAAACACATCCTCTGCAATTTCCTTACCCATGGGTTCAGATCCCTGCAGAAGCTCAGCATACAAAGGAATGGATCCAGCTTCAGCAACTGGTCTAATGTAATCAACATGAGATGAAATTACACCTAGAGCATTACCAGCAACCAGTTTTGTTGAGGTATCTCCATCCCGAAGTAATGCCATGAGGGCCTGTACTGCACCTGAATCAACAAGCATACGCCTTGCTCTTCTAACCAAACCAAGCAACCCAATTGCCTGAGCAGCTCTAGTTCTGGAGATCATGCTGCCACATCTAGCAGATTCAACAAGAAAACGAACCCCCCCTAAACTGACAATGACCCTCCTAACCTCTCTCAACAGAGCCAATGCACTCAGAATTTCCAACAAGAACCGCCTCAAACTATCAGGGCAGGAATTTAACATATTGAGGACAATTTCTAGCCCACCATTTCTAACTACAATCGTGCAATTAGGATCGCCAAATGTAACAATATTTCTCAGGCATTTTAATAGAACTCTTCGTAAGCTACCTTCAGAGTCCGGTAATAAGCTCAAGAGGGAAGGAATGGCATCAGATTGTCCAATAACTGCAGCCAATCTGCCCTCCCCTTCGCAAGCAATGCATTTTAAGCAGTAAGCAGAGGCTTCCTGAGCTGATGGACTTAAATTACTAGCTGGATTTCCAAGAAGCTGCACTAGGATGGGCACGGTGCGTGATAATATATTCTCAGGTGCAAGATTGGCCAGAAGAGCAAGTTTAATTGTGGCTTGTACTTTCAAAGCCTCATCCTCTAATGCAATCACATTTTCGTACTGATGGAATGCTGCCTCCCAATCTGTGATCCTCTCAGATAGTGCTTTTTCTGACCCAGGTTCATCCATTTAATAAACGTGGAAGCATGATAAATAATTAACCTCTGCACTCTGTCTGTAGAATTCAAGAGAAGAAGAAAACAAAACCAGAAGTTTCAATTATTAGAGTAATAATAACAGCAACATTCCACTAAAACTCCAACAGAAAATGGAAAACAAGAAACACATCTGGTCAAAACTCTTGAAAAATAATACAGATGCAAATTAAAGTAACTATTGGAGACATGAAAGGTTTCTACAAATCTCAACCAATTAAGAGAAATCAAACCTCGACTATAATCCCATTGTGGAGAAATAAAGTAAATCAGCACTTAACTAAGGAACAATTTAAAAGAAATGGCCGAAGCAATAATGTCAACCATTCCCCCCAATCAATTACTCGCAACCCCCCAATTCTCGAACACAAGCCAATCAAAGTAATATTTGTAAACAATTACAAAAGGTTTGTCACTGAAAATCTATAAACTCAATACGTGAAGTTATTAGATGAGAAAACCAAAATGAAGAACAAAGTTAATTGCACTGAGACTTTGAACAGCAAGCAAATGGCATGAAGTGGTGGGCTTTGGATGACTTGCTGTCTTGCAGTTCAGATAGTCCGGAAAGTTCGCAATTCAGATAGTCAATGTAGAACCACCAACTCCACAAGGAAATTGCACACATCATAAATACTATTCCTTTGATTAACAATATATGACTATAAGAACATGCCACCCAAGTCATGCGGGCGCAGAATTTTTGTTGGGCGGGGGGGTTTCAGACTGACTAACGCACATCAGTTTGACTACCTTGGACATAACTAAACACACTAGCTGGTTGAACATAGAATTCTTGACTTCATTCTTCCTTAACTGCCGATATCTATCAGGGTTTGCATAGTTCAAAGTCCTATAAATACAAACATAAGCATTTGTTATGAATTCTTGGATTCCATAACTACAATCCAGAATTACTAATAGGTTGATGCAAAACCCAATTTGCCACCACTGCAAAAATTGAAGGATCCTTTAATCATCAAAACAATTATCCAGAAACCCTAGCACCATTCCATAAAATCATGCATAAGAGAGTCGAAGATTAGTAAGCCTCAATTGATTGCATGTTCCATTCTGCATACAAAGGTGCCAAAAATTATACTATCAACAAATTAACCAATCCGACCTTAGATTAAAAAACCTTCAAGCAATCAAATACACGACACCAAATTGATTTTGCTTTAGGATTATCAGGATTCTTGAGGTTGTTTCCTTCAAGTTAAAGTCTTAGAGATTCTTCCATTATATTTACTATTAGTTCATCAGTCAAATCTTTTATACACATTCGAAAAGTAACAATAACCCATCGAGTGTATCAGAGTTTCCTGAACTGGGTATGCCATATTTGATTGAAGTTCTGAAGAATCAACATTTTCAGGTAAGACTGGGTTAACTACAATTTACAAAAATTAGAATATTTGCTTCGGGAATTTTGAGCAATCAAGTTACCAGGAATCATAGCCAAAGATTAAGAGCCAGGAAAATAACGAATCAAAGAATTTAGAGAGATAGAGAGAGTCACCTTTCTTTTCTAGAGATTTTCGGGTTGAAACTTCATCCTACCGACAGAAATTACGACCACGATGCTTCTACGGAAACAAAGAATCGATTAGAGTGGTGAGGCCACTTGTTGAAGACAAAGCATTTTCATTTCAAGGCTTGATAATGTGGTTAGTTGGGCCCGTCTTAAAAATAAGCCTGGTTGGGTTTTGGGTTTTAGCCCAACTAATTAAAATGGCTTCTACGTAGAAATTGGGCTGCCAGGTAGAGCGACATATAAGAAAAATTACCTTTTCACACCCTTAATTATGTCTCGTTTCTCATATTGCTTACTTTTTTTTTATATGAACTATCGTGTTTCCTCGTATTGCACTGTTAACTATAATTAGTAGTTTCACATTGCCCCAATTATAAACATGCAAATAGCATATTTAGCTACATATTTTGTCCAAAACATATCCAACCTTTGGTCTTTAGGTTATGTAAATCAAATCCAAGTACTTAAAATAATAATTGAGTCGACAAAATGAGATTAGGATCGTAATATGAGATCAAAATATCATTTACGTACAACACACAGTTTTTGTTATTTGACCATTGATTTTGTGGATTACTTCTTTACTTTCTTACTTCAATTTGAATGGTCATATTAATGATAAATATTTAAATTAATAACAGAAGATAACACATAATTGTCAAATTCTTAGGGGCAGTTCAATAGTTAGGCTTATCCTCTTGCAAATAAAAGATCTCAGATAATTTCTACATCCTCTAAAGGTCAAATACCTTTGTTACACAAAGAACATATACTTAAACTAACTTCAAGTTATTGTAGTTGAGAATAGTCAGTACAAGACTGAACATCTGTAATAAAACAAAATATAATTGCCAAAACTGGTAGTATAGTGACCAAAATGAATATTTTTCTCAAACTTTAGAAATCAAAAGTATACCTTTTCCCCTAAAAATACACCTCATGTTAGATATCTCGGCTTTAGTCACTGAAAGAGAAAAGGAGAAAAGGAAGAAGATTAATTAGTCAATGTCTTCACAACATAATGGTAAATTATTGTCATGATAACCAGAAGAAAAGAGTGGGCAGATGTGATTATTATCCCTAGGGATAAGATTTTTTAAGAAAACAAAGTAAAGAATGCTGGGCCCTGGCTGCCAATTCCTCATTAGGGGTTGTGTCTTGGTCTTGACATTGAACTGGACAACACTGTCCAAGTTGCTCTCAAGTGAAAGATATGGCTGAGCCAATCCCTTCAGGTGCAACTAACCTCTCTCTCTCTCTCTCTCTCTCTCTCTCTCTCTCTATATATATATATATATATATATATATATATAGATAGATAGATAGAAAATGCTGCATCAAGGAAGGGCCTATACCGTTTGATTAAATAGGTGCCACCAAACTTTGACATGCACATTAGTCAAAGTGCACTTTCTTATTGAAATCAAACAATGAGGTGCGGTTTGCACATGCATGATATTAAGTCGACGTCTCTAGTGGGATTCAATTTGCAACGACAGTTGTGGCATATGTTGTGGGCCTGTCGTTCCAATTTTTATCACTGGACTGAAAATATCCCAACATGCTAGTTGTCGTTTGCTTTGTTGTAGACAATGGAGAGAGAGAGAGAGAGAGAGAGAGAGAGAGAGGTGTTGGATGTAATGTAACAATGATAAGGTTGCTTTGTCTCCAATACATCTGTTAAGGTTTGCCATAAATGTAAACTTCTTTTTTATTATTTGGGAGAAGTATAACACCATTGAATTGATTTATTGGTCTTCTAATAATTGATAACTGAGGATTAATTGTCGAAGGAGACGAAACTATATGTGATCGGAAAAATTAGTTAGGTTAGGTGTTCTAAGTTACCCGAATACCTCTTAGTTTTTCCTCTTAAATTTGAGGGTGTGAGGCCCTTGGTGCTTCCTTTGCAAATCCTCCACAATAAAACCAAAAACAATGTTGTTGTTTGTCTACCTGTCTTTCAAAATCCTGTGTCAAAGTTTGCCTACTTATGGAAACTACATGTCATATTTGTCAACCCAAGTGGACAAGCGACTATAAGATGCAATAGTAATGGGATGCAAAGAAATCATCGTGAAAAAATGATCACACTTAGCCTAACTTCACAGGAAAGATGTTATAAAAACGTTAATTTGGAATGTACGGAATTTGTCAGAAGAGCACTACTGTCGTGGCAAAGCGATTTGTATTATGTTGCATATTTTAATGTCTAATAATTCTCAATATAAGAAATCTGATGATACAACTTATTTTACATCATCAGGTGCTTTAAGAGACCCAAATACCTCCTAATTTATTAAAAAAAACAGAAAATAAATGTGATGAGCAGAAGAAAAGTTGTAGCTATAAATTTCTTTTGCAGAATACAACTTGGTCAGCTTGAGTGAAACATCCACAAAAAGCTTACTTTAAGTTCTTATTAATCCACTATCAGCGTAGTGGACCCTACCAATTATTGATAAGGTGTAATACTTCATACCTCTTTATATACATATGGAAGATACCTCATTTACCAACTATTGCTTAGCAGTGACCAACTGATCTTGGCCATAAACACAACTGGCAACTTCAATTAGTATCAACCAACTGAACAGCCTTTGGTAGCATACTGGTGGACCTGTTTGCCCCAAATAAATGAGTTGACACAATTTTGACCAAACATAATGCAAATTTGCTATAACACAACTTATACACAATATGAAACCCAACACAATATGAATCAAGTTATGTACAATTCTAAATGAACTGTGATGATGCACAAAATTGTATTGCGCAAAATCAACAGTCAAATATATGTAAGGGTATAATTAATGAGTAGTAAATAGACAATAAATGGCAAAACAGTAAATAGTAGCAACACACACAGATTTATAGTGGTTCGTTCCGAGTAACCTACTCCACTCTCAGAAATGACAGCAGTGGCCAAAGATCTTTATTGATGAATAAAAGTCATCGGAGAGAGTTATAATGCTTTTGGAGAGAGAAATTAGGGAGGTGTAGAGAGGGCAAAAAGTAGAGGTCTCAATGTGATGCTTTCTATGTGGAGAGAGCTTATATTATATAGGTATAGTGAGGCGGTGACGTGAGGGAGAGAGTTTCTACTATTTTGGTAAGTACAATTAAAGTAGGATTAGATCTCCATGATGTGTATCCCCATGTTCTCTCCCACATGCTCCTATCCTTTGGGCTTCTTGAACCTTGAGTTGGGTTAGACTGGCAAGGAGATGAGGGACACCACTGAAGCGGTGCTGAGGAAGAGAGAGCGTGAAACGAATGAGAGCCCGGGTCCCCATGGGCAGCGCCCATGGCCTGGGTGACTCCTCTGCGCGTTGGTGGCTTGGGCTCCTCTTGATTTATTGAACTTGACCCAATTAATTTTGGACTCATCAAATTGAATATAAATCAAACACGACCAATTGGATATACAAAACCAATTCAGCTATTGTCCCTTGATTGAGACCTTAAGCTAACATAGCAGCATTGAAAAAGACTGGTTTTGTAATGAGGTATGATAAGAAACGTTTCTAATTATTACAAGGAACTGCATTTTTATTGTTAATGGAGAATGGATGGAAAGCCAGACAAAAGCAAATGCCAAAAGTCATTGTCAATTAAATTGGGAAAAGGTGAAGTTGTTTTGTCATCAAGAAAGTTGCCTTATCTTCTAAACAATGATGGTGCGGAATAAACATACGTCTAAAAAATGGGATGGAAATAGAGAGTAATGATATGAAGACGGTGACTAAGTATATTTTGACTTATAGAGTTTTTCG